AGAAGAAAGGCGGCTGATAATATTTTGTACATTATAATAAATCACTGTTATATCCGCATACTTACTGCGTCCAATATTATCTTGGGAACTACATTGAAACTTGTTCCGCGGTTGAGTTATCGAAGTTACTGAGAAGATTGGAAATATTTTATGTGATGTATACGTTGTAATTTTCAAGATATTTTCTAGTAAGTAGTACGAGGGAGTCTGGGATGGCTAGTAAATTATTCATATTTAAAGTTGTTAAATTTCTAGTACTTTAACGTGAGATCTACCACTCCCTACTAACTTCGACTTGAATAAAAATAGGTATGTATGTATGTATAATCTACTAGCTTTTACCCGGGGCTTCGCTCGCGTCACATAAGGATAAAAAGTAGCCTATGTGACATATATCAATACACAGAGCGTCATCTATACCAATACTTTTGTTTTCCCTCGGGAATATCAAATTTTTCCGGCATAAAAAGTATCCTATTATTTAATCCAGACTTCTAACTTTACGTCTGCAAAAATTCAAAGCAATCGGTTTAGTAGCTACGGCGTGAAAGCGGAACAAACAAACAAACTCACTTTCCCATTTATAATATTAGTAAGGATTATTGATAACAGTGACATTTACAATCTGCTTACATTATCCAACAAAACAGATTGATCGTCTACTGCAAATGTGAGACGGTGTGAGAGTCAGCCGTCATCGGTTTTAATGTATTACTCAAGAAATTGAACAAAAGTGTCGCACTTTGTGTTAGTATACCGGCGGGCGGCGGGCGGTAGACGTGAGGCGTTTATTTTGCGGCCTCGGCTTATAACGCCGGAGCCCTGTGATTAACATGAACCACCTCTTTTTCAAAATCTTCTTAAAGATCAGTGACATGTTTTTGAAAAATCAACATTTGTATTACTGCATACATTCTCACGTCTCTATCACTTGGGGTTGGTATAAAGTTCCAAATACCGTCTGTAAAAATTCTTGCATATAAGTTAGTTTTTACAACAATCATACATCTGTCATTAAATCATTTACCGCGCCGGTAACATTGAGTATTATTTTGAGTTGTACGAGCGTGCACCTTGTAACGAACCAACTTTGGTCTATGCAGCTGGGTGTTAAATAAGTACATATGTATATTTTTTGGATTTTGCAAAATGAATATCCGTTCGCAACGACGACAAACTCGTCTACTCTACTTGGGTGCTTTTGTTTAAAAATAGTTTTATAGCTACGGATAATAGTGATATACGTGCCCATAAGACATTATTCAGTGTTTCTAGAAATAAACCATTTCAATGAGAGCGGTTTGTTTTTCTTACTACAGTAATTACTTTAAATACTTAATGAGACTCTTTAATTACTCATTGGGTGGCTTCAGTGCAGATTCATTCCCTGGGATTGCTGCCAAGAGCCCGCTAAAGTAAATTTGTTTCTTACGACCATGACAATTAAGTCTGTTGAAAACTGAAACCTTTTACTAGAAGGATTCAATGTCAGGTACGTTACTTTAAAAACAATTGAATTTTGATTATCTTACCAGTGTAGTGGTAACAAGTACAACAGAGGGCTAAGCACGAATAACTATCGCATTCGTATCGTAACAGTATCGAGCGAGTTAAGCGTTCTGATTGGTTGGTTCACTTGAGCCGGCCAATCACAGCGCCGAACGCGCTCGATACTATTACGTTACGAATGCGATAGTTATTCGTGCTTGGCACTCAGTAACTGTTGATCATAACGTATGATGTACCCGAGGCACCCAAAATGTAAGCTTGTTAAAATGCCACTCGCCTGTACTCCGACATGAAAATAAGTCACATGCCACATGCGTCAGCAACATTTTTCATAATTATTTTATAACCGTAAAAATAAAATGTTCCCGCCGCGACGCAGGAATGTCTCCTGTACAAAGCCTCACAGTCGTAAATTTCTTGGCGCCTGAAATACGTAAAGCCCATTAAAAAATTAAAGTGAAAAGGGTCTCAGCTGTACTAGATCATTCTGTAATCCAGAGAGAGACACCAATTTCGTGCAAAAAGATAATCTTCAGAAGCATTTTAATTACTTTTAAAGCTCCCTTGTTAGACCTGTATTATGTATTCTGCACAAGACCGGGATTACCTGGCACCGTCGTAATATATGCTCGATCTTTTGCGCTCACGTGTAAAATTATATTTTCTGTCTCATTCCCTCTGACCTGTTTCTGACATGTAGAGGTAAGCTGGCGACCTGTGGAGTGTTTTGATGTTGTTTCCTGCTAAATCGCGTTAGTTATTCAGGAATGGTGATTAAGGGGTGACATTCTTGGCCTTGGGGGATTAAGGTGCGAAGGACGCCACAGTAATGGTGACGCCGCCGTGATGTGTGTGTAAGATTTATTGCGGCCATCCAACCGCATCTGGTTAAATTGGAAGCGCAAATGTTCTTGAACATTGTGGGGTCTTAGATACAAATAGGTAGTTCACGCGATCTCTTGATGTTGATGATAATAATAGTAAATATTTGTCGGATTCATTTCATTCAATACATTGTTTCACAAAAAGCATAGTTTTCTACCTCCATTTTGAGAAAATTGCCTTTGCTAATGTAAAATCGAAGCATTAAGATAAGTTTATCAGTTTCCCATGGCCGCGTGAGTATCGCTAGTAAAAGTTGAACTAAACAAAATGTGCCTATTACTGCAGGAGGCAATCTCCATTCTCTCCAGTTTTATCGCTCGCTGGATGATATTGGACGAGTACATTGTACTGTACAGCTACATTGTAAAGTCTACGTTCAGATTACGTGGTACTTACTTCGTCGGCTTAAAATTTTAATGAGAGATAATCCTGCGATGGCGGAATGACAGAAATAAAAAACTTTTTTTAATATCTAAGAGACTGTTTCGATTAGGTGATTGGTACTGAGTGATTAGTTCCATAGCCCCCACTTAATTTCGGAATGAGACGAATTTTTTCAATTTCTAATTTATATGAAGTACTCTTTGGGTTCAGTTCTTGAAATTGTCAGCACAAAGGTATCTGGATTGCTAATAACACAACCGGCGTGGGTGTACTGCCTTAGTCTCGGGTAGATTTCGGAGAAAATCAGGCAAGATATTACGGATGTATGTAAATTCTTAGCAGTAGTACTGAGATTGTGTTCAGTGTATGGTTCCCCTATTACATTACATGGGACGAGATGTCTTGGCCTTTTCATGCTAATCAATTATTGAAAGCTAGCGACAATTCTATTTTGAAATAGAATTCCTGCTTATAAAAAGTAAACAAAACTGATCATAACAGAATTAAAGGTCAACAAATACGGCTCAGAAATTAACTTGTCATTTAAATGTGAACTATAAGTCATATGTCGTATTACATACTTCATAACCTCGATATAAAAAAGCTGTAAGCTGGTCGCCAGCGCGTCTGTGGTGCTTTTACCATAATGTATTGTTTCCAAAGCAAAAACGCCATGCCGGAGCCGTGCTTGAACCGTGCCGGAGCGTGCGATGACCTTATGACATATCACTACGCTTTATCTTCGGAGTCGCGGAGAACCTAACGGGTAACCGGGGCTCCGGCTCGACGTGCAGGAGAAGGAACGGCGTGGTTTTTAGTCAGTAAGAGTCTGACACTCCCTCCCGCCTCACCCAAGCGGGAGCAGTCATTCAATGATTTTCACCCCGATATTTAAAAAAAAAGACATTATTAGTAACACTAACTTTTCTTCAGTTATGTTATAAATCTTTTGTAATCTATAATTGCAATTCAGACACTCAATAATTATCTGGCAAAAACTGGAATCAGACTTCCACACTTTGTTCAACAGTCGCAACTAACCGGAGAGTTCTTATCATTATAACTTCAGCCCTAGCTAAGCTATTAAACTTGTACTTAACTGCATAATGAGCACACGCACACACACACGTTACCTGTCACACAATTACACATGCAATACACAGGACGCAGTTATCTACTTCACACAGCTCTCATAGTTTGGGGTTCGCGTCGTCAATCAACGACTGAACCGTTCCAAGCTGCCGTGTCTATAATCTATGGCACGAACCATGACCAGTACTTTCGTGATGGGCGTAAGTTTGCGAATTAGTGTTTTTAGATTATTTTCTTACTTAAAATTTCATTTTCTTCCGGCAGCTTACTTCCTAGTTGCCTCATCTTCAGCACCCTAAGAGTGGCCACTACTGGCCTCTTCTCACACGGCGACGGTTTGGGCATTACTCGCCATGCTTGCTCAAATAGGTTGGCGATTTCCAAAGTAATAATTAGAAATTATAAACCCAGGACGTTTACCTTTACCGTTTGTCAGTGATGTCTAAATAATCTTACAAAGTACATATAACTCTTGAAAATGTGATATTGGTACTTGTCCTTAGTAGGTTTCGAACCCGCACTCTCATGCGTGAGAAGTGGGCATCTTAAAGCTCCGAGCTACCACGCCTTAGTTTGTTTCTTGAAACTAAATGATGACTGTAATCATAATGGAATAAGAAATGATGCGAAAATATACAATACGCGAACATTCTGGCCATGTATCGTGGCGGTGACTGTACCACACACGGACTCTTGGTACAACGGTGTGTCGCTTCATGTAATATTCAATGCCACCTCCTTGTTTGTAAACTGCCATCATTATTTTACGACGACACATGATTACTTGCAAAGTTATAGTATTAACATTTACTTTCTAGTATAAAGTATGTTAATAATAAGTAATAATTACTCGAGATGTTACTTTTATGGGGTACACCTGAAAAACAATATCATGTAGGGATTAAGTATATCTTTATGTATTTGGAAATTGTTTTATACACAACCCATCCAGTAGATCTGCTTTTTTTTCTTTTCTTCTCGCGGAGATTCTTTCTTACAAGTCTTTTGGTTACTAAAGTCGTTCTTAAGATTCACAGATCTGATAAACTCTATAACGGAAATAAAGTTACTATGTATGTTAAGAAAGCTTCGACCATGAGACGCAATCTTAAACCATATTTCCTTTACAGAAAGGATGATAAACCCGTGTACTGTGGCCGGCCTCCTGCTGGCGATCATCGCGGTAGTGGCTGCTGCTTCCTATGACCGGGAGCGGCTGGAGATTGCGAAGCAGATCCTGGAAGAAGTACCTCTCACTGATGGGTAAGTGTCACTAACTGCTATTGAAGTTGTAGTCAAGTTATGAAAGATGTGCCAATAATATTTTCATTAATATTGGAAACCAAACAATCAAATAATGTTCTAAATCAATAATCACAGCAAACAGTTTAGAATGTTTAAGCCATAGATCAAAGTCTAATCTGAACCAATACCAACTATTCGATAACAAGTTTCATCGCTTTAAGCACTAGAGATGTCGTGAAGTTTAATATTAATGTTTTAAATTAAAAACTTTTACTGTTGTGTATTGTAACTACGCAGACACCTAAATGTCCTCGATACAGTCATCGAGCGGATTTCGTAAAGTGCTGACCTGAAGTTAAAAAAGGTCAAAGAAATAGGTTACATGGATAGTTTCTTCAAGTTTGGCTTACGTTTTTTTCTAGGAATCCATCATTCTCGCCTCATTAGGTAGGTCGTTACGCAATTTGCCAAGTAGTCTCAATTTTCTATGATTTCCACTGAAGTAGCTAAACAAACTAAATCGTAAAACATTTTAGTACACAAATACTTATATTGGTGATGGTTTACAATAAATTTTTCCAAGTTGTATTGATACTCGAATTAGTAACTACCAAAGTGTAAAATATTGTATAACACAGGGCTCTTAGAAGGAGTGATTATAACTACTTCGTGCGCGTTCGCGCCAACTAACGCTGACGATTTATCATCAGGTATCAATAAACTTGGTGCAAATAAGTAACAGGTAATTAGACAGATAAATATTTTCACTTTAACATAGGTGAGTATTTTATATTAATAATTCTTTTATAAACCAAGTTTAAAGTTTCATCCCCCCCTTTTTGGGAAGTCGGTTTATTAGTATACTAAAACGTTCTCCTATATGTAACTAACTTCTGGAAATCGAATCAAAATCGGTTCACCTCGTATAACCACCTTTTTTGAAGTCGGTTAAAAATTAAACTAAATCAAATCAAAGTACTAAATAGCCAACAAACGAGCTCCCACTAATGTCACGCCGCAGTTTATGAAGTAAAACTAATACATTAAAAGCAGGACTCGACGTTCACACGTGGAATAGAGCCACAAACCGCATTAGGAATAATTACGTAAAAGCTTGACTTAGTTCCAACGGGAGTTCCCGTGGCATGTGAGGGATTCTGGCGGATTACTTACTACGTGGTGAAAGAATGATTAAATGCACAGCCTCGTACAATGTGCACACTGTGGAACCTTGCATAGAAGGTGTTTATGTTCCAGCAATATGTGGCTGCTGGCTGAGAATACTTAATAGGATTTTGAGACACCGCAGAAGTGATTAATGGACCTTTAATACTAGGCCATGTAAAAGTTCTATACATAGTAAGGTATACATTTCAAGTGTTTTGTCACTTATATTGTACGCAAATCCAGTGACACAAAAGGCTCAAATCTAATTCAGCACTCAAGTTTCCTAATTAGAAGTTCATAGTTTATTCAACCTAAACCAGCTGGTTGTTATTAAATACCCACAGAGACATACGCCATGAAAATAGTGTCACAACTGTGATCGAGTGCGGCCTGTCATTCGAGCTCCTAGTTAAGTGAACCACTGTGCTACTTGTGACTGAAGTAACAAGCAGAAAAATAACTGTTTAAGCTGGCGTCACACGGGACGCGGGATAAAAGCAAAGTTGATACGCACTTCTAGATAAGTCTCGCGGAAAGCGTCGGTCACATATTATAGTGAATCGTATAAGTTTGTTTTCGTGTAGTTTGAAACTTATACATTAATTGCAAAGTAAAGTAATAATGATGTCAGCATTTTTTTCTATAAAATAGAAATGTTCGTCATATCAGCCAGAACACGTGCTCTGCTGAACAAAAATAGATATGCGATATTCCAAATATTAATAAGTACCTGGACTTCCTCGTTGGCCGAGTGGTCGCAAGTGCGACTGCCGGTTAAAGGGTCTCGGGTTCGATTCCCGGGTCGGGCAAAGTACTACTGGGTTTTTATAAATTATCAGTAGTTGCACGAAGTCTGGAATTGTGCCCGGTATATGGCAATAGGCTCACCCCCTATTACAAGGGACTCATAACATAAATAGTGAAAACTGGGTGTTACATTGTACAGTGGCATAATGTACACCTCTGCCTATCCCTTCGGGGATAAAAAGCGTTATGTTATGTAATAAGTACCTGTTGTTGTATTAAATTTAGTAAGTAAGTATTTTAGCAGGACCAACATTCTCTTACCACCGCATCTAGTCTTCCAAAACGCAAAGTCAAAGTCAAAGTCAAAATCATTTATTTCAATTAGACCAGAAAGGCACTTTTGAACGTCAACAATAAAATGAAAAGTGAAGCTATTTGCTCATTCCAAGGTGTAGATTCCTATGGAGAAGAACGAGCAAGAAACTCCATAGGTTACTCGCATTCTGTGTTACCGAAACCTTACCCCCAGTCGCAACGTCTGTTTGTCTCCTTGCCAAATTCCAGATATAGCTTTTAAAACATTTCTAGAACAAAAACTGTTCTACTTAAAATTGTGGAATGAAAATGTTTGTGGTCAACATTCATAAATTGTTATTGTTTTTGTTTATCCCTTTGTGTATTGTAACGAGAATTCTGAGAATTTAAAAGAATGTCTGATAGGCTGCCAGCGGTACAAGCGAGGTTTTAAAAGCGCTTTTTGATCATAATTGGTTTAAAATAGATTATGATGACATGACGTAATCGTGAATAAAAAAAAATCTATTTTTAAAAAAAGTGTTCAATATTATGTAATACAACAATGATAACAATGTTTGTCCTCAGCCATAACGACTTACCGTGGAACATCAGGAAATTCTTGCGCAACCAGATCAACGAATTCGAGCTGAACACCGACCTCACGGTGGTGGAACCCTGGTCCATCTCCAAGTACTCACACACTGACCTGCCCAGGCTGAAGACTGGTATGGTGGGAGCCCAGGTAAGACCTCGACTCCTTTAAAATCTAATAGAAATAGAAAAAGGAGACTGCCTCGTTGGCCGAATGGTCGCAAGTGCGACTGCCGGGCAAGGGGCCTCGGGTTCGACTCCCAGATTGGACAAAAATTTACTTGGATTTTTAAACAATCTCAGTATTCTATATATATCTCAGTATATCTCGATACATATATCTCAGTAGCACGGAGTCTGGAATTGTGCTCGTCATATTATGGCAATAGGCTCACCCCCTATTACACGGAACTAATAACATAAATAGTAAAAAGTGGGTGTTACATTGTACAGTGGCATTAAGTGCCGTAATATATATACACCTCTGCCTACCCCTTCGGGGATAAAAGGCGTGATGTTATGTAATGTGTTATGTTGAAATAGTTTTCTGTTTCACATAACCTGACATCTTAATTCAATTAATATAGGGACGGAATAGTTCAGGAACAAGGTCATATCGGCCAAAACTGGCAATGGGTAATATCAAAAACAATAAAATCAGTGGTGGTCATCATATATACCAAATAGTGTGACAGAGTCAAAAACTAATGGACAATTTTCCTTCCCGCAATGAACGATGGTCACGACTTTATGAACTAAATCAGTATCATCGTTTATGGTTATTAGCGGTAGCCACGGCCCTCTCCAATCGTCTCAACGACCCCATAAATGGCGATAGTGGCCCACTAGACCATCATACACCATAACCGTTTATGAATTATTTAATAGGTCCCCTTAACGACATTAATATTACTACCTACGAGCTGAAGTTAAGCAGCTTTTGTGACGATGATACTTGAATCGATAAGTTAATTATTGGCTGCACTTCAGCTTAGGCAAAGAGCTGATGCCAGAACGTCAAGGTACCACAAACTTTCGAGGTTAATTTCAACTTTATGATTTTGTAGTAAAGTTGAAAATGTAATGGGATAGTTTGTAGTTTCAGATATCTTTATGTGCTGGCATCTGAATCTATGGCGATCAACTATTCTAACTTTATGGCTGCGAGGCAAACGAGAAATTATTGTCCTCTATAACAGATAACAATAGCCAAAATCGACAACACTTAAACCATTACTAAATCTTACCTACTTTTATCTAATACATTATCATCTTTCAGTAGGGATCCTCTCCGTGGGCAAAATTTTAAGATTTCCATTACTTTTCAAGGGCCGTGACCTTGGTCGCAGAATGTTCGGCAATGTTCGAGAACTTTCTTGGATAATAACTAGTTGTAATAGTTTGATCGGGAAACTAATTGCTGCTTCAGATAGTTTGGTGTTACGTATCGAGTGGTTTAGCTCTTGTACGAATATTTCCCCGAAATATCCAAGATATTCACTCGGCAGACTTCACGTAATGTTACTCTCATAGTTTGTCTAATAGTTTGTTCGATCTTTAATAGTCACTATAATGTACGTAGTTTAGGGTATAATAACAGTTTGGGAAATCTATCAAGGTATAGAATTAATGATGCTATACTATCACGTCTTAATGTGTTTTTCTCTCATTATACATGGCTCAATTTCTTGATAGTGATTTGAGCTCGGAAACTACCAATCAAAAGCCGCGACTACTCACAGGAGCGAGGTTATCCGGCTATATCTATACCCAAAATACCCTTTAAAATTCAACGGGCATAACAAATTGTATCCAATAACTCTTTGGTACGCAACAAAAATATTTATTGCTGGCATAAATTCAAATTAGACCCCAGTTTGCGACTGTGGGTGCAAAAACTCGGATCGGAGTTAAGGAGGGGATTTTGCCCTCCTGTAAACCCTCCTAATGTATGGCATGCGTTTGTTTTGATGGTAATTGACTCCCGTCTAATGCAGGTGCAAACTGAATGTAGTCAGTGCAAGGAAAATTAGAGTTACATTAACAATTTGTTGATTTGCAATTAGATTACGATCCATTTCTTCATTAAAAACTAATTAAACCAGTTTTTGAAACCGTACTTAACCGAACTCGTATCATAATTATGATCATTCCTTGACGGTGTAATGACGTATTTTAGTGCAGCCATCTTCTTTCTTCTTCATCTTCATATTGCCCACTAAAAATACTGCACCGAAAAAAACAAGGAAACTTCATAAGAAGACGATGTCCTCTCACAACATTAAGTACAAAGCCCTCGAACAATTTGTAATGGGGTCAGCGACATGATAGTAATATACCGGTGAAAAATTGTGGGTCATTTAACCCGGCCTCTGGCTGGCGATAAAACGGAACTATTTGTAAAACTCGTAAACTTTTCCTCAAGAGTTCTTATCATGAAGGCGACGGAAGGTCCCCTACTTTCGCAAATGTTTATACAATTCTTTTCTAAGTACCTCCTCTAAGGAATAAACCTAAATGTGTATACATAGTACCACTCTTATTGCACTAGAAGCCTAGTCTATCCAAATATTGGAAATAATTTCGTACTCCAGATATAATTTCGAAATCGAAAAATCCCAATAATAAGTTCGCGACCCACACTTGCGACCAAATCAAGTCCTATAGCTAGATATTACTAGAACTTCGCTTACCCTTTTTAGCTTGTATTTGTATGCAATATACTGGTTTTATGTTCTTCTCAACTACTTTTAAAGTCAACTCAGTTTTAATATTTGCTTAAATATAGTGTCATTTTACAACGAATTCAGAGGGACAAAACTATACGTTACGTGACTTAAAATTGAGGCACGTTCGATTATTTGGTAATTATTAACTTCAGTGATAAACTGAAAATACTTAAGACTTTCATGACTTTCATACCATATTCCTATCCAAAGTAAATGTAGCTGTTACCTGGATTTCTAACGCCCTTTATTAAAATAGGTGGGCTCTAACGTAAACCATATGCACACACACTCACTTCTCTCCTTGGCCGAACCGTTTACGAATTTATAAAAAACAACCCTTTGCAACTCTTATTCAATTACATTGAGCCTACATAGGAAATCCTATTGCATTTAAAACCTTATTCCTTAGGACCCAAAGCAGATTTTCCTATTCTATTTCGTGTGAGCGCGATATGATTTGTTTTCTATCCATTGTTGGGAATTCCCTTAACAAAAATATTTTATGCGTATGGAAATCGTGGACTATCATAAGAATTTTCGTACAAAAAAGTGTGTATATCACGATCCACGGTTTCAGATAAACGTGGATCGTGTGAATCACACGTTTTTACTTTGGAATCATATGAAAGTAAAAAAGCCCAAAACATTAGCATGGAGTTGCCGCAGCTGGAAAATTTTTGACTGTAATCATTAATTGCAATATTCAAATAGAATACGTAATGATTATATTTATATACATTCAGGAACAACAAATCACATTGCACAGCACATTTTATATCATGAAAGAACTTAAATAAAGTGAACACAAACTCAAAACTTTTTATTTTTAAATAACGTTTCAAGAAATAAACTTTCTTCTAACAATTCTTTCCCCTTGCTCCTCAAAACTTTCTTTGGCAATAAAAAGTGTAGGAGCTTCATTCATTCCTGCAAAAACAGAACCTCCTAACCAACCCAACGAGTGTGCTTCCGTAGGTTCTTCTATAGTGATGTGTTTACCAGAGATCGATTCGATCTCTCGACATAAACGCTTGACAAATCCTGGGATGAGCATACCGCCGTGCACGACGATAGACTCGTAGAACTCAGGCTGTAGTTCTTTATCACATTTTGCAATTGACGTCACAATAGCTTGCTGTATGGAGAGACAGTCGGTCGCCTTGTTGCCCAGCACCAGTTCTGGCTGGAAGTATATCTCACCCGCCCAGAAGGCCTCGTCGCCCACGTTAATGGTTGTCATATACCCAGGTATAAATAGTTTCTTACGGTAACTCTTTTTACAATTAGGCACAGACGTGTCCATGGTGACGTACGCCTGTTTCCAGATCTTAGCCAACAGTTCTTCAGTAATATTGGCTGCCCTAAAACCGCGTTTACAAATATTATCCAGCATCATTTTTTTTATCTCAGTTCCAGCAATATTGGTTACCATATTAGCGTATGTGAGAGATCCCCCTTCGTATATTGGGTGAATTTCAGTACAATCTTCGCCCAAGTCTACTGAGAGACCGGTGGTAACCCCTGAACCAAAGAGGGCCAACAAACTTTGAGGTCTCATGCACATACTCATCGTGTTTAAACTTTCGAAGAATATTTCGCAGCATTTTACTCTGGAATTAAGAGAAGTAACAATAACATAACTTTAAAATAAATTAAACTAATTTAGTTTCTGCCAACGTCCCTATACCTTAGTATTATTTGAAATTTACTTTACTAATAAACCTTTACATATTACAAAATGAAATTAATAAAATAAAACCAGAATCAGAATAAAAGAAAGACTTTGTAACAGGTGTTTATTTACGCGGCAATAGTGCACAACCGGTAATAGGTGATTATGTATATTGTACACAAGTAACAAAGTTTCATGGCCTGTAATAATTAAAATAAAACCTAATATTATAGAACCACCTCTAAAATATCTATATATAAATACATACTGTCCTCGAAATGCAAAGCGTTAGGGAAATAAAAGTGAATGATTTGGCAATACAGTCCTATATTATGTGTAAGTGTAATATTTAAAAATCATCAGCCCTTCAAACACTCTACTAAAAAAAGGTAAAAAATAATAATGAAAGACAAAAATAAAATAAAAATAATAACAAACAATTGAATAAAATTCATAAAAAATGTACATACCAACATCGGGATCTAAAAAATATTTTAATAGCATTTGTCAAGAAAAATTACTGAATCAGGATGAATCATTCATACGAGTACACATATAAGTGATTGACGTTAGAAAAAAATTAAAAACATTTAAAAAAATATATTATTGCCTTCTCATCAAAATAAATAAATATAAACTAGAAAAAAAATACTAAAACATGTTACACAGTAACAATACAGTTCATTGCAGGCAATCATTAAAAATAAATAATATGAATATTCTCACTGCAACTCTTCTGCGATAAGTTACAATAATTGTATCAAGAATATTTCATGTATTCAATATTGCATTTATAAAACAAAATGTAAAAAAAAGAAATTTTACGCAAAGCAAATTAAAGACGAAATAAATATGCTTGCATTACAAAATAAGAGTACAGACATAAATAAATGACTGATGCTCATGACTTGAATCGTTTAAGATACGTACTTTAAATAAATCTTCAATGGTATAAACCGCAGCGCCCTTCAAATATCTATACAACCGATGACCAGAACCACTTCAGAACCTATTCCTTACAATTCTTTCTCCCTGTTCTTCAAACTGTTTCTGACTGACCCATACTCTTTGCGATTCCCTTGATCCTGCAAATACTGCTCCCCCCATCCAAGCCACTGCATATGCTTCAGTAGATTGTATAATATTCACAGGTCTATTCAGTAATAATTTAAGGTCCCGAGACAACCGCTTGTAGATACCTGGAATTCTCATACCTCCATGTACAACGATAGCATCAAACAATTCAGGTTGCAGATCAGAATCACATTTCAAGCTCGAAGTCAAAATGGCGTCTGGTAAAGACAGACAGTTCACCTTGTTGTGTAGCACCAACTCTGGTTGGAAATATAGCTCTCCAGCCATAAATACCTCCTCGCTGACGTCTATTTCTTCGCCGCTCGGCAGCTTGTACGTCTTCATGTACTGCTGTCTCGTTACAGCGGAGTTTTTAGTCACATACACATACTTGTTTTTCAACTCTTGAACTACTTGGTCAATGTTCCAGTCAACATTTAACTCTCTTCGCAGAAGGCTCTCTTTTATATATTCACTAAGATGATGTCCTGACATGTTGGTTTCCATCTTGGCGTACTCGATGGAACCTCCTTCATACACTGGACTTATTTCCGTGATGTCGTGCCCCATATCTACCGACATGCCTGTGGTGTATCCTGAGCCGAACAGTGACAACACGCTTTGTGGTTTCACGCACAACCCCGGGGAGTTTAGAGTTTCGAAGAAAATCTCGCAGCACTTTACTCTGGAAAGACAAACATCTTGGTTGTAATATTTAAAACTAATGTACTTTTTCACTACTTCTAAAGAGTGTGATACCAACGCCTCTTTTTATTCTAATTACCACGTAACAAAAGAAAATAAAAAGAATCATAGTAATAAAATAAATAAATCGTTTTCGTATTTACATTGCTTTTCATCCGGTAATAATAGTCACGACATTTTTGTTCAGTAGTACTTGATATGATGTTTTTAATTAAAACAAAGTTTCTTGTATCCTTGAAGGCCGATAATGAAACAGATTAAAAAAGATTATAATATATCAAATAAAAATGTGTAATAATACTTTTTTAAACAAAATTAAACATTCAAAATAATTCTAACACGATATTTTATTATGTATGTCAATTTATGACATTGTGCTAATTGCACCAAAAATAAGTATTGACTTCCATGCTCAACTAAGACCGACAGAATACAGTAAATACTATCTAAAACCTTGTCTCGGGTCCAGTTTACCACAAATGTCAACTCACAAGACTGCATATTTTCCTTACAAACACGGACGTATCCAAGCCGGAGTTATTAAATATTTTCCCATTGTTAGACGGCTTTTCAGTACAAATCCTGACTTAATGGTATGAGAGCTTAACAACGAAATATACTGAAGCTAACAATAGAATAAGCGATCAGAATTATAAAGAGATCGATCGACGGACAATGAACATTCTTTTTGGTCGGTTTGAAGAGTTCCGTAGGTAGTACGAGTATAGTAGCGGTCGTGATTATATCTTTTTGTGAACATGTCTTGTTTCCCGGTTCCTGAATGAAGGCTATGTTGAGTAGCGAAAACAGTGAACAATAGAGGAATCTATCGAAACATTACCTGATCAGTTTTTATTAAAAGTGTGTAAATTATGGAAACAACAAGATCTCATATTAAACAAAACACGATAAATTATCAAGATGCTTGACAGATTTTGTTACACAGTACAGAGACCACGTGACGAATTTCCTCTGCTCTAATGAAGATTCCAGTAGAGCGCCATCAATGACGTTCGATTTCCTGCTCTAGTATCTAGCGCAGCCCACGCGGTACTGGGGACCAGCATAATGAACCACTAATGATACAACCTGCATAAACGACATTCAGGAAATAGAAACTTTACAATCTTTGTCATTGTAATGAATGGTGTCGGCGCTCGCTTTTACTACTTGGACTTAGTCCGATTTATTCCATTTGTGTATTGGAAAATATAGAATATTTTAATTTCTTTTTATCGTGGGTTTATGCATAGTATATTTGATATGATGAAGAGCCATCTGTTTGGATGTGAAAAACGTAATTGTTTTTTCAAATCAGGTTACAAATCCAATAAGACTTTCGTTCCAGTTCACATCGTCAATGTATGACGTAATCCTAATGTCAGGTAAGTGGCGGGCCTAAGCCCTCGCCAAAGTCTCCTTGTTGACCTGACATTCATATAAAGATTTTGTGTTAACCTGATGTCATCGCGATACTATTCTTAAAGCATTATTACCTGAGACTGACCGATTGGTTGGGAGTAAGATAAGACGCGGCCTACAAAATTTTCTTAGAGGTGACAAATAAATGGGAGTCGCTGTTCTTAATTACATAATGACGATGACCATCATCGTGTTATCTTCTCATGTTTATTGGAACATTCAGAATAGTACTAGAAATCTTAATAAAAAAATACTAATTTGAGTTTAAATAAAACGTCGTCCTTAATTTGGATAAAAAATACAAAGAAAGGTAGAAATAAAACCCATTTATTATAAAAGTAAATATACAATTTCTACATGCGGATGTATTTCTATAATAATAAAATATCTTCCATGACTACCTCTAATTTCATTAATTCCCTTGTTGACGGAAGGGGCAACTCTCAAATGGCATCTATTATTTTGAATTACTTTATACTATTCATTTATTATTACTATTCATTTTAAGTCACTGTAACTTATTAATCTCAGATTCATTTAAGTTCTTATTTTGTTAATTTAAAGTTGACTACTCTTGTCTTTCTTGTACAACCTTTTTATGTATGTGGTGTTTACCTTTAAGTGATTGTAACTAAATTTAAATATGTATCTATTGCATGTAACCTAATATTTGATCTAGTGTGTACAATTGTTGGTGACCCAATAAATAAAAATAAAAAAATTAAATAAAATGATGGTAAGTATATTGTACTAGATTATAAAGTAAATGTACCAAAGTTATTATAAACAGACATTGCAGTATGGAAAGTATTCAATTGAAATGAATGGAGATGACATTGAAATGTCTTTTGTGCTGAATCGGGAATATTCTTCTTTTCAAAACCGTACAATAGTGTCGCGTCTCTAGAACGTATGAATATAACTAAATCCATTCGGTTCTCGGCGCATTTGATATTCAGTATTATTATGGTTACAAGTGTGATTTTAAGTGTGTATATGAAATTGAATTAGGGAGTTACCTCTAGCTGCAACGTGAAGTAATTATACCCTTAAGATAGCTCGCAGTGGTTCGATGTGAAGGGATGAATGTCAATTCAATCGAGAGGCTAAAACGAACTTGAAGACGATGATAAAGAATCTTTCTTAAAAAAGACAAATTAAATATATTATTATTCCAGGGAATCTTACAGATAAAAAAAAATGTTATATCAGTGCTTCACTGAAAAAATCATAGGAAAAAAATCATTTATCAGTGACCAATAGTTTATTACCGTCATAAATACGGACGTGACCGCCAGTCTGTAATGGCGGTCGTATTGTAATTAACAGGAATATTATTTTTGTACCGACAACCAATATTCGGTGGCGACGGAAATCGACGCAATGTTGTTTTGTGGCCAATATTTGTATCACCCATTTGTCACTAATGTTCATGACGAAGTATTGGTCAGCCTAACGGTTTTGTTTAGTTTTTGACAGTGTTCATATGAGAATCGTCTGCAAACATGATTGAAGAGGAAACTGTACAGTCATAGTAATAAATAGGGAACGGTAGTTAAACGGCAATATTCGTCAAAACATCAACGTTTCCATATAACTTCTTTTACCGTGAACGAAGAATTTGTACTACATTTTTTTCTGTTCGGGAAAACTATTTTTAAAACAACAGTCTGCAAACCCACTAAAATCGATTCAATATGAAGAATATAGTAAACACTGCGCTTATAAAGTCACACTACAGTGCTGATATTCCACGAAAATAGCAGTAGCCAAAACGAAATTCGCCAGTCTTGGCTTAAAACAATAAATTCGTTCCCGTCAATGTATAATGTCAAGTGTGTCGAGGAATATATTCATACATTTGAGGAAAGTATCCAATGTTAGAATATTTGATCAATCTTGTCGCGCGACTCAGCGGGTCTCGGTATGTCGGGGAAAATAAAGAAGTTGTAGTCAATGTACTAATATTATGTGGACTGACATTTTTATTCAACAATAAAGTGGAGTGAATAAAGTGTCTGTACTCACTTGTCTTTCATGGTGGTTGTTGGAGCACATGATAACAGTACAGCTCGATCTTCGGGAGCTGCCTTCAACTCTCTGTAGAACACATGGTGCCACACTCGCTCCATATTATCCCAGTGGACAATCTTCCCCCTGCATACAGGATAATTCAAGTCCAATTCATCCGACCTTTCAACAGCTGCATCTCCTATATAAACCTCGTAAGGAGTCTTGCCATAACTCCCATTGAGGTACTTCGGCCTCCCCACTGTGTTTCTAAAGATGGACACCGGGTGATTGTCGCAAGCAAACCCAGACTTGATATTAAAGCTTCCATTGTCAATAACCACTACTGGCTTCGAGAATCCCATAGTAAAAGAATGTGTATGTACAGGTTGACGTTCTGAAAGACAAATGCGACTTTGTCATATGTGAATACTAACGTGTATTTCATATTTGACCTCGTTCCACTCTGCCGGCCAGGTACATCACATGTGACATATCAGTCCGTAAAGTATGTATACCACACCTTATAGTTTGGCGAGAAATGTGTTTAATTTATTACTTCACATTAGATTCTTCAATCTCTTATTACTACAAGCTCTCAAAATATGGATTATCAGAAGGGTAAACTCTTGGTATCATAAAATTTATAATCTTAGTTTAACCTTAACCCAAGTTTAAACAAAGTTTCGAAGTTAAGTTAATACCTTACTTGGAAGTTTGACAAGTGAGATAAAAACAGGGGTGGCTTTTACATCACGTGCTTAAGTTACATTGAGGTTATAAACTCGTATTATTAAGTTTGGGGACACACAGATAGGATTGATTATAAAGTCAAGAAGTTTTACAGTAAAATATCTTGATAATAAAAGTTGAAGTAAATAAAAAGTTGTGCGGCTATATTTATGTGACCTAGTTTTGTTTAATGCCAATTCTTGAGTGGTAGTATGAAGAGATCACGAGGGCAGGCATGTTAAGATATTGCTACATAAATCACGCCGGCCGCCAGCCAGTATGCAACTACCCTTAAGCGACATGATTAATCACAGCGATTTATTATCGCTTCAAATAGCTATATATCGTATTCCACGAAGGGAATGGCGATTTTTTCTTATTTGATTTTTTTTTTGCAGAAATATATGTATTTATGGTAATTGGGAATGGGTATCCCTGATACTAAGTTATTGTTTAAGATTGAAAACGTTATAAGTCATTTTACAATCCAGCCTATTGTATTTTTACGGCGATCAGAGTTAGACTAACTCAAATAGTTACAGTTCAATCATAAAACGAGTAATATTATCTGGTATATCTGGTATCTTACTTCAATGCATGTTTGTATACAAAATATTCATACCAGCATGAATATCTAAGACCTTTGCTTGTTATTGTATTGTGACTATCCTGCACCACACGCAATTTGCTCTGTGGTTGTCCATTTGCTTCTGAACTCCTAAGTGCTATGAGTAGACGCATTTTGAGCACAATGTTCTCTGAACTTACCGTACATGATACTTGTACAACGAGATTGTGTAATGTAAGTGAGAATGGAAATTCGCTTCTTTATTCAATTTTGAACCTCACTATTTACCATTTGACCACCGCGCGCTGCGTTGGTCCCGGCATGTTGCCTTGCGGGCACCGGATAATTGGATCATTCAGTCTGGATATCTTATCCGGTATCGGAAAAATGTGACATAAAATCGTAAACTACTGCTAGTAGCAAAATTCAGGGTGATAAAAGTACCTAAAATAAAATGAAAGTTATAATGTAAACCTTATACAGAAAGTCCCTTTGAAGATTTTCCTTTTTTCAAACTACAGCCGGTAATTATTTCCGTCCCTTCGCTAGTATTTCTCAAACATTTATACTGTTAGATATATAGAGCAACGACACAATTTGGTCCTAAATACAACATAGCTGAACTGTTCAAATTTAGCTGAAAATAATTCTAATACGTTGGACGCCATTCCAGTTTCTTGTTTACTAAAAGTTCATAATCAGAAATACAACAATATTTTGTCCAACCCAAGACGCGCCAAACTCACTCGACGCCAGCCTCACGACGAAATAAAATTTTAATTATATGAAATTACATGAATAAGTAGTATAGTTCTATTTAGCAATTATGAGAATATGTATATTCATATTCTCATAATTGCATGTTTATTTCATGCAAATATGGACACGAGTTAAAATAAATTCAACTTCAAATTATATAAAGTTTGCCTCGTGCGACTCCATGCTGCCTGGCGGGAACTCGTTGACGATTTCACTGCAAACGAGTAGAAAATATGCCAATACAAACATGTGACGAGTAAATTCCCTTGTCGTTCCACCAAGTTCCTCGTTTTCGAATAAAAATAAACTGAATTTACACCTAGTAGTCAGGCAAGTAAATATTGTTGTTTTTCTTTGCTTTTCCCTAATTCGTTTTAGCTCAAACAGATTACTGACCAGATTCGGTCAAGATTAAGTATTTTCCATTATCTGTATCTTATGATGGGCTACACAATATTCTTACGTTCAGTCTATTAGGCCTTCAATCTCCTTAATGCCCATTACATCTGTCATGGATATTCTAATATCTAATATTATATAATATCCAAGTACAATTGTACATCCTTCGTTGTTGCTTGTTGCTTGTTACATCCTTCAAACATTTAGAGAAATGAATAAAATGAATGATAATATTAAATTCCTCACTTTATTAAAAATTAAGTCAGATGACTGTTCATCTGTTTCTCGTCACACGAAATATTGTTTTATTCAAAGAACTGGGAGTTTCCACGAATTTAAATAAGCAAATTGACATTTACTCCGGGTAATATCAATTTTAATCTGGAGTGGATCAGTTAACGTATCTCGCTGCGTAAATTGTTTGTCAATCGTGACGTCGTCATCTACCGAGGGATAATTAACGGAGTTAACAAGACACGAGTTGGCAGCCATTGTTATTATATTCTATTCGTAATTTCAGTTGAAATATAAGAACAATTTTAATTTATCCTAATCCATTTACAACAACCACTTGGCATCAGGTGCCTAACCCATAACTAAAACGTTTCTTACAACAAAAAATTACTTGTAACATTAATCGGTACTCTAAAAGAACTTAGACTTAACAAGATCAGATCCTGAGTCTTCGTACTCTTCCTTGGTCAGCCAGAATCCTTGCAAGTTTGGAAAAGATGCTAGCATAGACCCCCCGATCCAGGCCGCATACTGTCTCACGGGTATCGCTTCTACATGCGGTCTGACGTCACGCGAGGCCTTCTTTAGGGAGTTCGTCAGCTCCTTCTTGAGCCGCTCTACGAAACCTGACGTCATTGTAGCACCGCCAGAGCACACGATGTTGCTGTAGAACATGGGCCTGTCGAAATGTGTTTAATCAAACGTATCAGTGGTATCAATATGATTAACTGTGTTTATAAATAATACTTCATGAAATTGTTTGGAAGATGAAATTATAAGTTGGTCTTTTTGAATAATTGTAATATTTTAAACTATAAAGTGTTATCTTATTAATTAAATCCATACCTAAAATCAAGGTCACATAAATCGATGCCGTGGCAAATGGTGTCGATGATATTTCTGCATTTCAGTTCTTCAAGCTCAGGTTTAAAAAAGATCTCTGGGCAGAGAAACCGCTCCTCTCCCAATAGTAAATGCTGGCCATCCGGCAGCATGTACTTAACCTTGCTATCATAACCTGACGACTCTGCCAGTTCTTTATCATAGTTTTGGGATACGTGACACGTGTCTTTCTATAAAGTCAAAGTTTTATTTTGAAACTTCAACAAAATACATGTTTTCCTTGAAATATTGATTTACCAACCTTAATTTTTTCAATCAGATCCAGCTCATATGGAGTTGTGAGTGAATATCCTGCTTTGAACATGAGATTCTGCAGTCTTTTGGTCAGCATATTGCCAGTTATCGGTGAGGTGATTGTAGCGTGCTTTAACGGGAACCCTTCAAACACCGGTGCAACGTAAGAGCAGAAGTGCCCACACTCCAAAACAACGCCAGACGTCCTGCCATAAGCATTCAGTGCCAAAGCCGTTGACTGTGCAATGTAGAGTGAATCAATGGCAAAGATTTCAAACAAAATTTCAGCCATTTTTTTACTAGACAATAGAAGAAATAAATATTATAAATGCGCAATGTTACAAATAGATCCATTTTTTTTCTGAAAGTCTCATCCGTCCATACATACTTATCACTCTTTGACGTAAGTGGATGCACAGAGTGGATGATCTTCGTAGACTCTGGCGGTACATGCAGTTCCTTGTAGAACACGTGATGCCACAGCTTCTCCATCTCATCCCAGTCCTCGATTCGACCTTCCTTCACTGGGTACACCAACTTGGATATACCCCGGTTCCTAATAGCCTGGGCACCACAATACACAAGTGGTATACCATCCACGAGACCTTCGCGACGAAACCTGTAAAACAAAGCAATAAATTAGAAAATACGAAACAAAAGCTCGCAAAGCAAGACTAAAAAGAATATTTTAACACAATCATTTTTGTTTGTTTCCCCGAGTAATTGTATTTATTTTAACCTTCGTTTTGATGTATTCCGTTAGCTCGTTGGTAAATAGGTTTCTAAGGACTGGTTTGTTCGATCGCGTCCAACCTACTTTGTCCAATTCAAATTAACAGCAAATGTTATGTTTATTGAGCATACCTGACTTTGTTTCAGAAATATCAAAACAGAACATTTAGCTAAAACATAAAGTATAGCAGTCAAGAGCTCATTTAAATCGCTGTTATTCCGCTTCGTAGATCAATGTACGGCAGTTGCCCACTTGTATTTCGTACGGCGCTCTTAACCTAACGAAATATAAATATTATACTGCGGTCTGCTCTGAACACTGCAAATAGAAAGCCCTGCTTTAATGTAAACAAGAATTTTCCATTTCGCATTAAGTCCTACCTAAACCGTAAAGTAAAACTTAGTGACATTACTACAAAGTTTCAATACATTGTCGTTGCAAGTAACATTAATATGTATTTCGGTTAATAGTGACGTGTCCTACTAACCATATTTATTATTGACGTTAACATGTAAAGTATAATCGGTTTACAAAGTATCTCTTCATGACAGTTTCAGAGAATGACAGCAAACAAAATAATACATTGTATCCAACTCATGTACTCAAACACAATAGCTCTTTCATACTCCCTCACATGGAGGACCACATTAGAAGTTGTGGCCACACATTTACTATTCCAACTAAAGTATAAACTGTTGAAATCTGTTCGGCTGGACTGTGTCCACACTCGCGACAACCCACTGTGCGACTTGTGTGCTCCGTACTCAGACAGACAGACAGTGGCACTCAAACGAGATACACTGCAGATCAGCTTAGTGCAC